CGTTGTGCGGGGCGGCTGGGAGCCAGGACTCCTGGGTTCTATCCCCAGCTCTGGGAGGGGAGTGGGGGCTGGTGGGTTAGTAGCAGGGGGGGATGGGAGCCAGGACTCCTGGGTTCTATCCCCAGCTCTGGGAGGGGAGTGGGGGCTGGTGGGTTAGAGCAGGGGGGATGGGAGCAGGACTCCTGGGTTCTAGTCCTGTCTCTGGTGCTGACTTTGTGCCCCCCCTCCATGCCTGTTTCCCCCACACTGATGAGGACTGTGGCCCGTGCCCACCCCTCGCACTGCACCCCCACTGTTACTAATGCCCTGTTCCTTTGCCAGGGCAGGATCTCCTTCTACATGACGAACTACGGGGAGGAGGGCACGCACGTGGGCAGCGCCGCGGCGCTGGATGACACAGACCTGGTGTTCGGGCAGTACCGGGAAGCAGGTGACGGCGAATCAGCCTGGGTTTAATGCCCCTCGTCCCAGCCGCCCTCCCTGCCAGTGCGCCCAGCCAGCGGGGCAGGGCTGTTCCGGGCAGCGGTCACTAGGGGCGGCGTAAAGCAGCCTCACGGCCATGCTGGCAGGGGAGCACCCGGCCACCTCCCGCCTTGGTCCTGGGACGTGGGGCTAACGCTGATTTCCAGCCCCTCCCACGTTGGGCAAGTATCGGGGGTAGCCGTGTTAGTCTGTATCCACAAAAACAACAGGGAGTCTGGTGGCACCTTAAAGACTAACAGATTTATTTGGACATAAGTATTCTTGCTGCCAAGTTAAAGAAGTATGGGCTGGATGAATGGACTGTAAGGTGGATAGAAAGCTGGCTAGATCGTCGGGCTCAACGGGTAGCGATCAACAGCTCCATGTCTAGTTGGCAGCCGGTTTCAAGCCGAGTGCCCCAAGGGTCGGTCCTGGGGCCGGTTTTGTTTAATATGTTTATTAATGATCTGGAGGATGGTGTGGACTGCACTCTCAGCAAGTTTGCAGATGACACTAAACTAGGAGGCGTGGTAGATACACTAGAGGGTAGGGATTGGATACAGAGGGACCTAGACAAATTAGAGGATTGGGCCAAAAGAAACCTGATGAGGTTCAACAAGGACAAGTGCAGAGTCCTGCACTTAGGGCGGAAGAATCCCATGCACTGCTACAGACTAGGGACCGAATGGCTAGGCAGCATTTCTGCAGAAAAGGACCTAGGGGTCACAGTGGACGAGAAGCTGGATATGAGTCAACAGTGTGCCCTTGTTGCCAAGAAGGCTAACGGCATTTTGGGCTGTATAAGTAGGGGCATTGCCAGCAGATCGAGGGACGTGATCGTTCCCCTTTATTCGGCACTGGTGAGGCCTCATCTGGAGTACTGTGTCCAGTTTTGTGCCCCACACTACAAGAAGGATGTGGAAAAATTGGAAAGAGTCCAGCGGAGGGCAACAAAAATGATTAGGGGTCTGGAGCACATGACTTATGAGGAGAGGCTGAGGGAACTGGGATTGTTTAGTCTGCAGAAGAGAAGAATGAGGGGGGATTTGATAGCTGCTTTCAACTACCTGAAGGGGGGTTCCAAAGAGGATGGAGCTCAGCTGTTCTCAGTGGTGGCAGATGACAGAACAAGGAGCAATGGTCTCAAGTTGCAGTAGGGGAGGTTTAGGTTGGATATTAGGAAACACTATTTCACTAGGAGGGTTGTGAAGCACTGGAATGGGTTACCTAGGGAGGTGGTGGAGTCTCCTTCCTTGGAGGTTTTTAAGGCCCGGCTTGACAAAGCCCTGGCTGGGATGATTTAGTTGGGGTTGGTCCTGCTTTGCGCAGGGGGTTGAACTAGATACCTCCTGAGGTCCCTTCCAACCCAGATAGTCTATGATTCTATGATAAGCTTTCGTGGGTAAAAACGTCACTTCTTCAGACGTTGGGCAGTGGCTCTGATGCCCGGGGTGGGGGACCCAGGCTGGCTGCACCGGGGATGCCTGCCTGCTCAACCCGGCTGCGGTTCTCTCGGCCCCCAGGCGTGCTGATGTACCGGGGTTACCCCCTGGACCTCTTCATGGCCCAGTGTTACGGCAACACCAGCGACACCGGCAAAGGGCGCCAGATGCCGGTGCACTACGGCTGCAGAGACCGGCACTTTGTCACCATCTCGTCCCCGCTGGCCACGCAGATCCCCCAAGGTGAGACCCTCAGGGGCTGCTGGGGCCCTGAACCCCTCGAGTGCCCCACAGGCCGTCGGACGGCAGCCACCTCCCAAAGGGGCTGGGGGAAAATCCTGACCCACAGCCCCCTACTAGCCCAGCCCTGGGCTCCCCCCAGCCCTGTCGGTGCCCCTCACTCCTGACCCGCAGCCCCTGCTAGCCCAGCCCTGCCCCCCCAGCCCTGCCGGTGCCCCTCACTCCCGACCTACAGCCCCTGTTAGCCCGGCCCTGGGCTCCTCCCAGCTCTGCTGGTGCCCCTCACTCCCGACCTGCAGCCCCTGCTACCCCAGCCCTGCCCCCAGCTCTGCCAGTGCCCCTCATTCCCGACCTGCAGCCCCTGCCAGCCCAGCCCTGGGCTCCCCCGCCCCCCCCACAGATCTGTGTTGCCCCATGTTGCATGGCTGACACTCCTCAGCCTGACCCCGTAGCCTACTCCCCGGGCTCCCTCCGAACCCCTTGGTGCCTGTTAATCCCAGTCCGCAACCCCCGAGCCTCACGACAAGGCCCGGAGGCAGAGCCCTGCCCCCCTGCTGGCCAGGGGCAAGGGAGGCTCTGGGCCAGTCTCCCCGGCGCCCTGCCAGGGAGCCTGCATTAACCCCTCCCCCCGCCGCTCTGTGCCCACAGCCGTGGGGGCTGCCTACGCCTTCAAGCGGGACAACGCCAGCCGGGCCGTGATCTGCTACTTCGGGGAGGGCGCGGCCAGCGAGGGCGACGCCCACGCCGGCTTCAACTTCGCCGCCACCCTGGAGTGCCCCATCCTCTTCTTCTGCCGCAACAACGGCTACGCCATCTCCACGCCCACCTCGGAGCAGTACCGGGGCGACGGCATCGGTGCGGGGCCGGGGGGCGGCAGTGGGGCAAGAGGGGAGTTGGGGGTCACAGATCCAGTCCGGCACCCCTTGCCAGCCACCTACCAGCCTGCTGTGACTCAATCCAGGCTCTGGGGGTCCCCAGGCGCACACTTGGGGTGCAGACCAGTCGCCCACCCTCCCGTGAGAGCCGGAACCCGCTGTCCGGCTGCCCAGCCCCGGGGCACGACCCCTTCCCACTCCTCCGTCCGCCCCTCTGCCCCCCGTTGGGAAGCCAGGCTGCGCTCAGCCCGGCAGAGCCGCCCGATAGCCCCCTGCAGTGCCCCTCGCTCACTCACCGTTCGGGGGGGTCCTGGGCTCCCCAGCATGGGTCAGCTCCTCCCTTCTCCCCTCCCGGACTCAGCCAGTTATCAGGGCGACCCCCCGCCCCGTTCTCAGGCGATGCCAGGGCAGTGGCTGGGCACTTCGAGTCAATGACCCGCCAGGCGATTCCTTTGCCGCCAGCCTGCGGCGCGTCGGCACGGCTCCTGGTGGGGTTTGTGGCCGGGGAGCCGGGGGGGGTCCCCCTGCAGTGCGCAGAGTCCCCCACTCCGCACGGCTGGGGCAGGGGGGCTGTTTGGGGCTGGCCCCGGGGCTCAGTGCGTGACCGGCAGCGTCTCTCTGCCCCCAGCGGCCCGCGGCCCCGGCTACGGGATCATGTCCATCCGCGTGGACGGGAATGACGTCTTCGCCGTGTACAACGCCACGCGGGAGGCCCGGCGCCGGGCCATCGCCGAGAACCAGCCCTTCCTCATCGAGGCCATGACCTACAGGTGGGGCGGGGCCATGGGACGGGGGGGGGGCACCCACCCAGCAGGGCGGGGCTCACGCCTTGATCCTCCTCCTCCCCCAGGATTGGGCACCACAGCACGAGTGACGACAGCTCGGCCTATCGCTCGGTGGACGAGGTGAACTACTGGGACAAGCAGGACCACCCCATCTCCCGCCTGCGCCACCACATGTTGGGCCGGGGCTGGTGGGACGAGGAGCAGGAGAAGAGCTGGAGGAAGAAATCCCGCAAGAGGGTGAGTGAGGGGGGTCCGGCCGGCGCCCGGTGTGAGGGAGCTGCCCCGCCAGGGCTGGGGAGAGCGACTCCACTCTGGGAGTTAAGAAGAGGGGCAGGCTGGGGGCCAGGACTCCTGGGGTCTCTCCTGGCTCCGGGAGGGGGCAGGGCCCAGTGGGTGGAGCAGGGGGGCTGGGAGCGAGGGCAGAGCAGGGGAGTGGGGCCCAGGGGGTGGAGCAGGGGGCTGGGAGCAAGGGCAGAGCAGGGGAGTGGGGCCTAGGGGGTGGAGCAGGGGGGCTGGGAGCGAGGGCAGAGCAGGGGAGTGGGGCCCAGGGGGGCTGGGAGCGAGGGCAGAGCAGGGAGGTGGGGCCCAGGGGGCGGGGCAGGGGGCCCAGGGGGCGGGGCAGGGCGCTGGCTAACGCTGCCTCCCCCGCCAGGTGATGGAGGCCTTCGAGCAGGCGGAGCGGAAGCTGAAGCCCAGCCCGCAGCACCTGTTCTCGGACGTGTACTGCGAGATGCCCCCGCAGCTGCAGAAGCAGCAGGAGGCGCTGGCACGGCACCTCCGGCTCTACGGGGAGCATTACCCCCTGGAGCACTTCGAGAAGTGAGGTCCCCGCGGGGGGGGCAGCCCGCTTGCCCCCCCCACTGCCCGGGGCCTGCCTCGGTTTCCCTTGGCCGCGCCGGGCCAGGGGCGGGATCCCTGGGTGTGAGCAAGTCCAGTGGGGGGCCACGGTCACTGGGGCAGCGAGCCTGGCCCCCGGGGGAATTCCTAGCTCAGACAGAGCCCCCCCCCAGGCGTAGATGTGCCTGGGCTCGCGGCTACCCCATCTCCGGGCTCTCCTGGCCTCCCGCAGGCCGGCAGGTCCCCTCGCTGCCCTGCCTGTGGGCTCCCCAGCCCAGAGTCGGGGCGCCCGGGTCAGGGAGGGCAGGCTTGGGGGTAGGGAGTGGACGGGTGCGTGGGCTGCTTGTCCCTGTAGCCAGGGGAGCTGCCCCCAGGCAGGGGCAGGAGCCGCTTCGCTGCAGGGGGTGGGCACCAGGTTGGCTGCGGGGGGGGCAGGATATTTTACTGCAATCTCCTAACTCAGCCTATAGGTCGGCTTTCTAGGCTCCGGTGAGTGGTAGTGGTGGTGGGGGGTGTTGAACCACGGCACGGTTCCCGGGGAGTCAGCCGGGCAGAGCCGCTCCCTGGGCGGGCGGCCCCCGGGCGCTGTTACACGTAGGATAGTCGGGGGCTGCTCTGGGGGGGGGGAGCAGCGCCCGTCATGCTGTTACACAGGGGGGGGGACTGGGAAATCCGGCTCGGCCTTGGCACCAAGGGTCCCTGGGGCCTGGCTGTACCGGGTGGCGGGTGTCAATAAACTTTCTATGTGCTAACAGCTCCGCATCTCCGCATTCCTTGTACCCCCTCCCCGGGTCCCAGCCGGCCTCAGCCTCCGCCCGCAGCCCTGGTGTGTGTGTGTGTGGGGGTTCCCGACCTCGCAGCCGGCCCCGAGAAGTCTCTGCTCCTGGCCGGGATTAGCAGGCGGTTCAGGGTGGGACATGGGGGGCAGATCGCTGGGGTTACAGGTGGCAGGAGCCCTGGCCTGTGCCTCCCTGGGGGGAGCGTCTCCTGCCGGCACTGGGGGGGGGAGCGTATCCGAGCCCAGCCTGGCGCTGTGACGCCCGGCTGCCCACTCGCAGTGGCGCCCCGGGCCAAGGGTCCCAGCCCCACCGAGCGGCAGTCGGGGATTACGGGGCCGGC